CCCCCCACCACTCCAGCAACCCTCAGTTTGTTTCCTGAGATTAAAAATTCCTCATATCAGTGAGATCATATGATATACATCCCTTGATTCTTATTTATTTTTTTCTTCCTTCTGCTTACCCGGGATCTAATTTGCTTTTCTTTTTTCAATTTTTTAAGATAGAAGCTTTAGATCACTAATTTGAGACATTTCTTCTTTTGTAATATGAGCATTACATTTATTTAAAGCAGAATTTCCCTCAAAGCAATGCTTTAGCTGCTTCTCACAAATATTGATATATTGTGTTTTATTCAGTTCGAAATATTTTCTGATTCTCTTTTTCTCATTTAGCCCACTGGTTGTTTAATTTCCAAATATTTATAGATCTTCCTGATAGCTTTCTTTATTTTTTCCCCTATTTTTGCTGCTTTTGGCTTTTTGATATGCTTTCTGGGGAAATGACACTGGTCTGAGCCCGTGTTGTATGTGTGGAGCCCACAGGCAACCCACAGGCTATGGAACTTATGCAGGTAGGCAGGTGTATGTGTCAGCTATTGGCTGGTTTCTCTTGGCTGGCATGTGAGAGCTGGGGCCAGCCCTGTTGCCCTCACTGCCTTGTTCCAGTAGCAAGGCTGAAGATGGGAATTTGTTAAAATTCTGCGTATGAGCCAGCCACGTCCCCAGCATCCCTCTACCATTGTGTACCTAAGAACTCTGGCAGCCCAGGCATCTACCCTCACGTAGGAAACAGAATCTTCTTCAAAGAAATTGAATGGCTCCAGAGAAAGCCCTAATGCCAGAGCTAAACCCCTTGCAGGAAGAGTATCATATTTCCTATTGACTATCTGTATTCAACACATAACTTAGACTTATGGCCTGAATGTGGCATGCCAGTACTAAACGAGAATTAAGCGCTATCAATTTTGGTGTATTTATAGATGACCCATAGATGAAGAGTAATATTTGCCTTCCAAAAGGTGGAACCCTACCCATAGCATCAGAACTATTCCATTAAATGCGATCTTACTTTTAATGGACCAACACCCCAAAATGTGAGTGGTAGTTTGCTGAGTGACCAGATTGCAGATAATTTTAATTTTCTTCTTGATGCATTTCTGTATTTTCTAACTTCTTTTTTTTTTTAAAGATTTTATTTATTTGACAGAGAGAGACACAACGAGAGAGGGAATACAAGCAGGGGGAATGGGGGAGGGAGAAGCAGGCTTCCTGCTGAGCAGGGGAGCCGATGTGGGGCTCGATCCCAGGACCCTGGGATCATGACCTGAGCCGAAGGCAGACGCTTAACGACTGAGCCACCCAGGCGCCCCTATTTTCTAACTTCTTACAGTGAAAATATATTGGTAGTGTGTTCAGATAAAATATTAAGGTAATAATTAGAATTGTGAAAAAAATGTAAGTATCAGATCTAATCTAGTGAGCATGAGTCAAGGTATAGGCGCTGTGAAACTAATGATTTAACAGCAAACTGGGCTAATCAGAATTGTCTCTAAAGGTGTTTGCAAGAGAAGGAATTGACAAAAGCTTTTAACAATATCAATTTGACTTTTTCATGAAAAACAATTGCAAGAAGCCCAAGAAAGGCCATCTGGCCCAACTCCCCACATCAGAATTCTTGAAGAACGTTAAAATTATACTGTAGTTAGGGATTTAACAGGGCAAGAGTATCCTTGTTTCTTCTGCTTGGCCCCCCATTTACTGGTGATGGTGTTCTCGCTGGGGGAAGGGCAGGAGGTTTTGAAGATTTTCCTACTACCCTCACTTTTAGAGAGGAAACGGATGCCTATGATCCATTTATTCACTAACATGCTTGTCCTCTCTGTCCTGTTCACAGGCAGCTGGCTAAGAGTCTTGGGCAGGCTGGTGAAATTGAGCCTGAAACAGAAGGAATACTAACAGAGTATGGTGTGGATTTCTCCGATTTCTCTTCGGAAGTTCTAGACTGTCTCCCTCAAGGTCTGCCCTGGACAATTCCACCAGAGGAATTCAGCAAGAGAAGAGATTTAAGGTAAATATCTGAAACTCTTTAAGAATAACATGTTTCTACCTTTCTATCTTCTAACTTCACTTTCTTAGGGACGGGGCTCAGGTATTTCCATCTTTCTACCAACATTCAAATTCAGTTCAGTTGAGAATTAAGTGCTCTGTACTAGAGGTTGGCAAATTATGGCCCACAAGGTAAATCTAGCCCACTGCCTATTTATGTATAGCCTATGAGCTAAGCATGGTTTTTGTATTTTTAACTGATTGAAAAAAATCAAAACAAAAATAATCTTTCATGAAAATTATATGAAATTCAAATTTCAGTATCCATTAAGTTGTATTGGAACACAGCCATGCTTATTTGGTTATATTTTGTTTATGGCTATCTTTTTGCACTACATTAGGGTTGAATAATTGCAACAGAGACCATATGGCCTGCAAAGGGCTCTCTGGCCCTTTATAGAAAAAGCGTGCTCATGTCTGTTCTAGACCATTCTAATTCCAAAAGATACAGTTGCCATCTTTTTTTCTCATTGTTATGCCCTGTAGGTCTGATCGAATAAACGACAATGTTATCTGGTCAGAAGTACCTTCCTTTAAATGGGCCTCTTCGGGCACAGAGCGAAGGATTCAAAGCTTCTGTGTTTGGAGCTTCATTTTAAAGCTTTACTTTTAGGTCTGGAATTTGTTGGAAAGTACTTTTGTGGTATTTTTATAACAACATCTTCTTTGAAGATGTTTCTTCATTGTGGGATGTTAGTTCTTTTCTGATATTTCTCTTCAGAATTTGGTTTCAGTACTGGCATTCATTTTGGATGCCACATGGAGATATTTAGAACCAAGAAACTTTTCATACAACCCACTGAGGCTGTGGAAGGTTTTCTGCTAAGGTCATCCCATGTCAGAGTCTTTTCCGCCACACTCGCTCACTTCATGAAGCTGCACTTACGATACCTTCGCTCTCGTTGCCCATTACTCCACCTAAGTTTGAGAATCCCCCTTCTCTGCTCCCTCTTGCTATGGTAACTTTTAGGAATTTACTGCCTTTTTTTCTTTTCTTGCCAAGGGTAGGCAAGGAAAAGGAGATGACAGTCCCCTTTCCTACTTGTTGGTAGCTCTGATGGAACACATGTTTATATTTGAAGCCTCTTAACTCAAGTTACCGTCCTGGCTTTCAGCAGTAACCACCACTCATGGAACTCCTACTGGTCAGTGATCTCATCAGGGGTTTGGGATCTTGGACCCAAACCTTACTCTCTCGGAACTGTCATTTTCTCGTATACAAATTGAAGGGCTCGTTTTCTAAGGTCTTTCCCTAAACCTAGGAATCTATTAAAAAAAAAATCTAGTAAGAATAATTGGCTGAACTTCATTGTTTGAAGTTTAAGTCAGTGTAGCCATTCCGCAGTAACTATCAACATTTGAAACGTACCTACCCTTTCACCCCAAAACTTGGCTTCCAGGAATCCATCCTACTCAAAGCGTACAAGGATAGATGTACAAGAATGTTCATTGCTTCTCTGTTGTGAAAGTGACACTGCTAACGTCCCTCAACAAAGGAATGGTTATTTTTTTTAATAACACAAACCTAGATTTCATTCTACATTTTTTAAAAGATTTTATTAATTTATTTGTCAGAGAGAGAGAGCACAAGCAGGGGGACCAGCAGGCTGAAGGAGAAGCAGGCTCCTCCCTGAGCAAGGAGCCCGGTGTGGGACTCGATCCCAGGACCCTGGGACCACGACCTGAGCCGAAGGCAGGCGCTTAACTGATTGAGCCAGCCAGGCGTCCCTGGAATGGTTATTTTTTTTTTTAAGATTTATTTATTTGGGGGGGGGAGGGTGCACAGGTGTGGAAAGGGAAAAGGGAGAGTCTCAAGCAGACTCCCTGCTGAGTGCAGAGCCCAATGCAGGACTCAATCCCATGACCCTGAGATCATGACGTGCGCCTACACCAAACATCCGACACTCAGCCCAGGCACCCCGGCAAAGGGATGGTTAAATAACCTATGTCATACCAGCAAGCTTGTATTCCCTGCAGCTGCCAACCAGGGACTAGATCCACGTGGACTATCCTAAAGGGACGGCTATCATATGTTGCCAAGTAAAAGAAACAAGTTTCAAAACAGTGTGAATATGAGCCTATTTTTAATAAAGCCAGAGAATATAAAAATACTATCCAAATGTATATACCCATGCATACATATATATGTACATATAAAAATATATATGCATAGAAAAAGGTCTGAAAGGAAATACATCAAACTGTCGATGGCAATTATCATCTGTGGACTTGGTAGGGTAGTAGGAGATAGGGAGGCAGTATTTTACTTCATTTTATAAATTGCTCTATTTTTCAAATTATTTTTTAAAATAACTTTTATGTCTTTTAAAAATTATAAATGGGACTATCAGAAAAGAGAGGTGCTCAATTTTTTCTAGCCTGATTCCTAGCCTACAGATAAATAGTAAGGCACTTCAACAGTCAGCCAGCCCAGCGTGTTCTCAGTTCCCCTCTGGTGGATCCACGTTGCCTTTTTCTTTGGCCCCAGTTGCCTCTGAGTTAGGCTACAGAACAGGAGGCCTTGCTCTGCAGAAGACCTCTGTTAAAATATGCCTATGTGTCCTGTGCAGGGATCCACAGATACAGGAAGCTTATAGGATGAGCTACAGTATACTGCTATGAGCATAGTATCAGAGATTTTTTTAAACCACCTTAACCTCCCAACACTTTCTCCTTGTCTATTATCTCCAAGACTATGTTTCTAAAATTCAAATCTGATTGCTTTTACTCCTTTAGCTTAAAATCTTTCAACTGCTTCCTGATACCTAAAGTAGTCATCTCTAAACTTTTTTGAACATGCATTCCCAATAACATATATGTCTTTATTTTACAATCACAAACATATTTACTACTTTGCTAATTTACTATGTACATTGTAAATATACGTAAAAGTGGAAAATGAGAATAAAATAACTATTGAAGATATTTTCCTTCAGAAAGGTATAGAAAACTGGTCTTATTCATAATTTTACTTTTGGTGAGAGCAGTGTGATTGAAATTCTTTTTTTTCTTTTTTTTTCTAATTTTTGCTTTCACAACCTGTGATTTAGAAACACAAAGGTCTGATTACAAGTTGTTCTGTGTTTTTTGATACTTAGTTTTAGATTTAATGGTTATCATAACTGAAAAAGATACCTCAGAAGAAGTGAATTGAACTTACTAAATCATAATACGCATTTTTTAGTCCTATTCACTGATTATATTCGAAAATACAATCCAGCTAATAAATTTTCATCTTTCATGATGTCAGTCAGTTCTTGTGAACTAATTGAAAGGTGCTACATTTTTAGATTTTTAAAAAATAGGTTCATAGTCTTTGGTTAGTCTTCAGCTGGCATCTTTAAACACTAGTTAGAAAATTCACAATGTTTTTAAGTGTATAGATATGAGTAGTTTTGCAGTAGTGCAATTTTATACTTAGGTCGTTTTAGTCTCCAAATTTATAACATTTCAAACTTCCTTTTTAAAAATTTTGTCTTCAAAACTTGAGTTTCTTGTTTTATTGTGTCCAAAAGTCAGTAACTTTTTTTTCTTGTTAAAGTGTCACCTTTACCTTGAAGGAACAGATTAAGTGTTTTTGTTTTTTTCTAAGGATCTGCTAGGTAGCATATGATTGACAGTCATTGTTTTGAAGTCATACATGTGACTGGTGATGAATTTATATTAGGGGCAGAAGAAATGTCAACTTTGCCATTTTCCTGGTGTTAGTAGAATTAGTATTATTAGTTTAGTATTATCTTCAGTCTGTGGATCTTTGTAATAATCTTTTTTAGCCACTTGCCTATTTTGTAAGGATTAGCTTAGCTGAAATTAGGTAATTTCCATAAATCGATGTATGGGGCATGAGCAGATAGATACCCATTGATCACAGTTGGCTGAAAGCACAGGAAGTACTGAGAATGCCAATGTCATTGCCTTTGTGTTCTGGAACACCAAGTCCTTCATTTGGACACTTCACTTACCTCCTGACCCACATACCTTAGGAAGGCACCAAGATTAATTCTTCATGTGTATATGTATGTAATCAGTTAGCTTCTTAATTTTTACAATAAAAGATAATCATAAAGATAAGTCTGTGGTATGCTGAAGTCTTTTGATCTGATTACCTTTTCCTTCTCTTGTTCTTACAATAGATTCCCTCAGTTTTTCAGCCAACAGATATTAATTGAATACCATCCAGGGACAGCGGGGATTCAGTAATTGGACGGGATTGTGCCGGAGGGGAGTTACTTGGTACGAGCATTTGTAGCACTATGATTTCTTCTGCTCAGAGATGCAGTGCCTTCAAAGAGGTTTTTATCAATATTAATTTTCCAAGGAATGTCACAAGAATTCAGAATGAGTCCCAGCACCCACTAAAAAACATGTGCTATGACTAAATTAATACATGTTCTGTAAACTCCTAAGTGAAAGCTATGTCTTTTTCCTTTTCCTGTCTTTCCTATATACGTCTACTTATATATATTCTTTTTATATGTGTATATGTAATATATGCCAAGTTCTAAGTTAGTTACTGGAAATACAGAGACAAGAAAGGCCCAGTTCTTGTTCTATAGGACTTTACTCTTTCTCAGGGAGACAGATTTACACTCCGACAAATTACTGCAAAGTATGGCAAGTGCTATAATATCAGTGTGAACCAACTGCCAAGGGCATTGGTGCTTGAACCGAAATCTGAAAAATGAGCAAGCGCAGAGGGAACTGGAGTGACTAAAGTAGTCTTCATTTAGTGATAGGCTGTGGCTGCAGAATAGATGACATATTCCCCTAAGACTCCCAGATCTTTCTATACCAGGGCTCACAACTCCTGTGGTTTTGATAGCTTCTTGACCCCTTCTGCTCGACCACCCTGCCATGGAGCCTGCAGCCTTACTCTGGCTCTAGCTACGTAAGGACTTCTACATACCCGTTTAGGTTTGGTATTTGAACAATTATATTTGGAACAGAAAAGTTCCATCAATC